TGTGTGTGTGTGTGTGTGTGTGTGTGTGTGTGTGTGTGTGTGTGTGTAAGCCACATGTGTGGGTGGCCACGAAGGCCAGCAGAAGATGCCAGTTCCCTTGGAGCTGGAGTTACAGCCTGGGCAGGTATGAGCACTGGAAACTGAACCTGGAGGTCCCAGGAAGAGTAGCAAGTGCTCTTAACCACTGAGCCATCTCTTCAGCCCCATTCCCAAGTTTTTTGAATCAGAGTCAAAGTTGCTTAGACTGGCCTTTCACTCACTCTCTAACCCAGAGGCGCTTTGAACTTGCCATTCTCCTTCCTCCTAAGTAGTAAGGATTACATAACTGTGTCAAAACTGCCTCTTCTTGGGGGTGGGGCAGTATTTATCAAATTACACTTTACCCCAAAAAGAACAAGGCTTAAGGTGTCACTGAGATGCTTGCAAAACAGCTCCAAAGAAAACCAGATTTAATTTTATAAGATTTGGGATGTGGCCAGATGGTTGTCAATAAATTTTCTGACCTGAACATGCCACAATTCACTGTTTCTCTCCTTAAGAGATAAGCCCCCTCCTCATTTTCTACTATGCAAATAAACCCAGGAATAGAAACAAGTCTCAGATATAAACAAATCATACGCAAATTGTACAATAAGCACCTACTTGCCCCAAAATACCCAATAATCTTACCGTTTTTCATTTCCATATGACTTCTGTGCAACTTTCGCATGAAGAATGAGTACTGTTTGATCCCCTCGTTCTTTTAAATAATTTCGCATAGCTTCCCTGTAATCAAATATAAATATTATTATTGTAGGGATAGGATTTTCGACAAAATCCTTCTTTTATTGCATCTGATCAGAGGAATGCTTATGAACATTTTTTAACATGCAAACCTAAACACGAAAACAGAAACCAATACATGAGCTACCTTAAAAAATGCTGGGCAAATGATAATACATACCCACTGTCAATCTTCATTTTGATTGCTAAAATAAAATTAACATTTACACTGCTAATATAATTCTGACTTTATAGCTTATCTTGTTCCTCTACCCTTCCATGTCTTATTTATTTTTCTGTACATTTGGTGTTTGGCACACACATATCTGTGTGAGGGAGCTGGATCCACTAAAATTCGAGTTACAGACTAGACAACTGTGAGCTGCCACACAGGAGCTGGTAATGGAACCAAGATCTTCTGGAGGAACAGCCAATGCACTTAAAACACTGAACCATCTCTCTAGCATCCCCCACCCCACCTTCCAAGTCATAAGTCACACCAAAACATCAAATCACCCTTAATTCTGTTGCCTGAACCCAAACTAACAGTCCCATGTAAGGACTTACAAAGTACTGTCATTTATAAACAAATATACAGTTGCCCAAAGGATGTTGCTAAATAAATTCAATAGCAGCCAACTGAAGTTGCTGAAAATTGATTAAACTTTCCAAAAATCCAACACTACGTCAAATAAAAACTGTCACATGCTTATTTAGCATGTTTTATAAAAATGTCAACATATAAATATACATTGATTCATCCAATCATGTCAAGTTAAATGACACAGGGGGGAAAAAAAACCAAAAACCTCCTCTAAAAGTTAAGCCAGCCTTAGCTGGCTCTGAGGGAGGCAGAGGCAGGCAGATCCCCAAGAGTTCAAGGCCAGCCAACTTCCAGCACAGCCAAGGCTGCACAGAGAAACCTTTCTGTCTCAAAACCAGCCCTCAAAACAGACAGACAAACAAACACACACAAACCTCTAAAAGTTAAATCAGAGTCTCAATTCTTGAGATGGTTTACACACCACACAAAGTCAGGATAATCAAATGTTTTTACTAAATTTAAATTATATTCTACTTACATTGTAAATAAAGACAAATACTTCACTCAAATGGATATCCAGATGACAGTAAAAAGCTGCCAACTGCCACAGTTATTACATGTAGAAAATTATAGATTTGTGTCACTTGTGCTCTAAGTGCACAGAACCTCACCCAGTTTTTATTTTCATTTCTGAAAGTCAGAGCTAACACAACCCCCTCACTCAAGGTGGCTAAAGAGGGGTCAAGTGAGATAACCCAAATGGCCTTTATTCTTACTGAGAAAAATCTTTTGGCTTTAGGGCAGAGAGAATGGACTTCTACTGAAGGGAGCAAGAGAGCAGAAAGCAGCCGCACACCATCGCAGAGATGTGCACAGACAGTGCTGAAACATGTCGTCTGTCTTGGGCAGAGAGTGGGGGATAACAGACCATACGCTGGGGTAAGTTTTTAAATGACCAAGGTACTTGACACACTGGCAATGGCAAGGGATCTGACATAGTGCTATGGGAGGTAACTGTTCAGAGAGTAAGACGGGGGGTGGGGTGGGGTGGAAGAGGTCATTAAAAGATAAAAGAGGGTGGAATATGGTGGGCTCCCAAAACTCATCTAATGCCAGGTGAGTGTGGAGACCTGCCTGTAATCCAGCTGTGAAGGCAGAGCTTGGAGATCCCTGAAGCAAGTCCAGGTATACTGAAGTTCTAGGATTGATTAAAAGAGCTTGGCTCAAAAGAACTAAGTGGAAGAGAGATTGAGGGAGACTCCATAATATACATGAAAAAAAGGACAAGAAGCATTAATAAACAACAGATAAAAAAAAGTCAAGAGAAAGTCAAATTTGTACAGAAGTCCCAGGCATGGAGCTTGAATTGAAAAACAGCTACATATTTGAAAAGTTTTAACCAAGAGCATGATTTCCAAGTTAAATTCTACTAATACTTATGGTCTCTGTTATCACGAAGTGATTATTTGCTTATCTGTTTACTTATGTGTTTATATGCTTACCAGGTCATGTGTTTACTTTTTTTGTTTTGAGACAGGGTTTCTCTATGTAGCCTTGGCTGTCCCTGACTCACTTTGTAGATCAGACTGGCCTGGAACTTACAGAGATCCACCTGTCTCTGCCTTCCTGAGTGCTGGCATTAAAGGAGTGCGCTACTGCGCCTGGCTGTGCTCACTTTTCTTATCTTCCCCGACACAGCATAGAGGACATGTTAAAAAGAACCTGAAGCAGGTATGCCAAACTCATTCTACAAAGATAATTTCACTATTAAAAGACTGACACTGAGAAGTTAAGGCTATGCTAGTTATTTCTCTAAGTAAGTATATATCAAACAACAACAACAAACAAACAAAAAACCAACAAGAGTAAGGTAACCTATGACCAAGCACAGTCTGGAATGGTGAAAGGTTAGGTACCCTGAAATGACGGAGCCAGGACTCTAAGAGAGGCAGTTTAGCCAACGCAAGGGCAAAGCGTACTACTTGTCTACTACTACTTTGAGCTTTGCTACAAAAACACAACGGGGTCTGAACCTTAAACTCTGCCACTTTTGAACCTGAGTTTTTTTTCTCTTCTTTGAAGCTATGGAAAGGAGATAAAAAATACAACACACCTCAAAGTAAGTTAGCCCCACTGACAAGTAGTTCATGTCAGCAAGCTACAGGTACCACTATTGTTTTCTTTGTTAAAGGCCATTCCAAGCTCTTGTTTATACCGGCTGCAAGAGAAAATGGGGATGAAAGCTTTGCAGGCATACTGAATAAAGAGTTAGGGGTGCATACTGACTTCTGCTTTTGCACTGTGAGCAAAAATTATGGGGGGGGGGGGGAGAAGCTGTCTTCTCAGGCTGACTGACCAAACCAAATATGTGAGGAGGTTTGAAATTTTGCCGTTTCGGAGTCTAATTACAATCTATTTGGGATATCTTTAGTCTACTAAATGGTCATATCCCCACCACTACCTGTGTTGGCCCCTACTAATAGCCAGACCTAGAATGTATTAACAAAACTCCAGATTTCCAATCAAAAGACTTCGTGTTGTCAGACAGCATACAAAGCCTACTATAACATGCTTTCCTGGTGTATCTACGTATTTTTTAACTTTCTTTGTTCTGTTCCCATAAAAACTCTGTGAAACTACTTCCATGTTAGAACATTGTATCTGGAGAGACTTAAATGAATGTTTCTGGGCCACAGTCACTATCTTTATTCTTCTGAGGTAAGAGCTGTTTCATTCAACCATACACAGCACACCTATAAAGTTTATAAGCACATTTATACACAGTTGTCTTATCTAATGTAAAAAAATGAAGTGGATCAAAACATAAGAACAGCGTCTTAGGGCTGGAGGGATAGCTCAGAGGTTAAGAGCACTTCCAGAGATTCTGAGTTCAATTCCTAGCGACCATATGGTAGCTCATAACTTTCTATAATGAGATCTGATGCCTTCTTCTGGTGGTGAGGCAGAACACAGACAGATAGATAGAGACAGATATATAGATAAGCAGGCAGGCAGGCAGGCAGACAAATGGAAACCTTAAAAAAAAAACAGTATCTTATTATGTAAAATTATAGAGAAGGGGGCAAGGAAATGGATGAGCAAGTAGAGGCAGTTGCTTTGCAAGCTCAACAACCTTAGAAAAAGATATCCTACTCCTAAAAGTTGTCCTCTGATCTCCAGACGTGTGCCACTAAATGCACTAAACCAACACCACAATAAGAGATACATATTCCCAGTTCTTCTGAGTCTCTCTGTTCTTCTGAGTCTCTGAAATCTTTCTGCTTGGTCCCACTACAGAAAACAAAACTCACTGCATTTTCTAGAACTTGTATATGCAGAGTTCAATCCTTTTCAAATCTTTGCTCATATGCAATGTTAGTCTAAAGTTGTACTGCCTCATGTTTTTAGTAGCATTATGAACACTGCCTAACATAGGTAACAGTATTCTGTCCTTGGAGAATGAACTAGGACCCAGAACCTCATTCCCACCTTATAGAAAGGCATCTAATGGTATTTTTTCCCTTAAACACTCTGTATAATTTAGCAGTGAAGCCAGCCTACACGTGAAGTTTCCTTTTTAATAACAAATTTAGTCTTTTTAGATACAAGGCTATTTGAGTTGCCAACTCTTTCCTGAACAAGCTTATAGTTTGTTAGTTTCAAGGTACTGACTTTAATGCTTTAAAACAGTTTTACCTGTAGTAAAATTTCAGATGAAAACCCTGTGAGCTTTATCTTTGTTCTTTTGAAATCCATCTTTGCCCCTGCTTTTAATGTTTTCTCTTTACCACTAGTTTTAATCAATTTGATGACGATGTGTTTCAACATACTTTTACACTTGATACTTATTGGGTTTCTTGAATCTGTGGTTCAGGCATTATTTCTTTCTATAGTTTTAGTCATAACCTCCTCATAAATGGCTCTAATTACACATATTTAACGATAGTTGAACCTCAGAATAGTAGTACTCCCCCCACCGAGATGTTTTTTCCTTTGTTTTTACTTTGGACAGTTTCTATTGGTATGCTCTCTCACCTTTCCATCCATTCTGAAGTTGATCCAATCAAGAGCCATTTTTTTTTCCGCTTTAAATACTGTTTTCATCTCTAAAAATCTGACTGGGTCTGTGTGTTTAATTTGAATCTTCTGTGCTTTATTATACTTACCTTCCCTTTCCTTTAGCTCAGGGATTTATAAACCATACCTTTTAGGGAAATCAACCCAACTGCCTTTATAATGCTGTTACAGACACCAAGTTGTTCACACATCGTGACTGTAGTTGCAGGAGAGGCTGTGTGGGCTAAGAGTTGACCATTTCCAGCTCTGAGTCCTAGCTCCTCCAACAGACAGAATAGACACCATAGCTGTCACTTTGGGTTGGTTCTGATCTACAGTGTCTCTGTGGCTAAGCTCTGTTGCTTCGGGAGTACCACAGAGTTCTTACTCCTCTACTGAGCAGTATGGCTGAAGGAGCTTGGAGAGCCTTACTCCTCTATTCTTGGCTTCGTTTTGTAAAACAAAACTGGATTCCTTGGAAAAGCTTGTCTCTAACTCTATACCGTGACAGTTAGATGAAACCAAAGCATAATGTAGTCTGGGCATAATTCTACACCAAAGCCAAACTTCATTGAGTGATTTTCTTCTGACCATTGAGAGCAGGCACAATTCATAGCCCTCCACGACCCTCAGACATGGTTTGGTTCCAGTGTGGCCCTCAGTTATGGGTAGTTTTCCACACGTGTAAACAGAAAACTAGAACAGATTGCTCTTCAGACCTGTTCTTCCACCCTGAGGTCTTCAGGGAGGAGACCCCAGTGTGTTAAGAAGTCATCTCCATCCCCTTGCTACCTCCTCGAAAACAATTCTGTAATATTTAAGTATAAACACTTAGATAGACAAACAACTATCTCAAAATAAGTTATCATTGTTTGGGACCGAAGTATTTCAGATTGTGAAGGGTTTTGTTTTTATATTTTGGAATATTTTCATACATGTTAATATTTGAGCATCCAAAAATCTAAGTTCCAAAATCTGAAACTTTTTAAGCCACTATGTTGGTACTTAAAAAGAGATTCTAGGGCACGTAAGACTCTGGATTTTCAAATTATGAAAGTTCATTGTACGCAGACTGAATAGAGTTCTAATATGTTCCATCCTCATTATTTATAAGAGGTCTCAAAATTGTCTTCAAACCATCTTCTATGTTCATCATTCTTAACTACAATTCCCCCCCCACCCCACCCCCGCCATTGAAGAGCGTTTCACCTGGGCCTCACTATGCAGATCAGGTCTGTCTGCCTCTGCCTCTGCCTCCTAAGCCCGCCAACATACCCAGCCTACAACAGGTTTTATACATATCTTAACAGTAGTAATTACTTGGTGATGGCCTAAGCAGTCATCAGTGTGAACTAAGAAAGTGGATACAACAGAACATGAACACACAAGCACACACATGGACACATGCACATATACCTCCTTCTTGAAAATTTAAATTAAAAATTTAACATGATACATTCTAGTTTTCTTTAAAAATATTAGAGAAAAAGTAGTATTTTAAAATTCACTTCAAAAAAGGACCTATTAAATATCTCAAATCTTTCCCCTTACATATCAAAGTGTGACTGGCTAAACAAAGTTGTAGCTGTTATCTTTACAATCGAATACTCAATTTTGTCTAGCCTTATGGCATCAAGGAATGGCGATGAATTAGTGGCCTTGTCAATTTCTCTGATAGAATCTAAGAAGTAGTTTTGAATACTGTAGACCAGACAGACTCCCATGTCGTTAGAACACGTACACAAGTCGGGAAGAGAAGGAATGTTAAGAATTAAGTGGCTATAATGTAGCTTAGCTCTCCCTCTCTCGTTTTGACTTGATAAATCTGTCTAGTAGGTTAACTAATAATAGTTCTGCAAAAGCTTTGCAGTTTGCAAAATTTAATTCAATTTTAAAATTATATCCTTTTGCTCCTACCCCCCACTTTAGAAAAGAAGAAAATGCAGGGGTAGTAATAAGCTCAAGACGGAGTTATTGATGTTTGAATGGTTTTCAGTTCACATTAGTGTCTAAAATGAGAGGATATCTACATGCACAGCCAATGCATAAATGGCTAATATAATGCTTACCTAGTGAGTCGTTTAGGTGGAGGCCGCTCACCAAACTTCCTAGAAAAAAAATTAAAGAAATAAAGTAAATAAGCTGTCAGACAAATACCACAGTAAGCTAGCTATAAGGCATTAGAAAGTGTCCCTTATGACTTGTCAATCTTCATGAAACTGAAGAAAGAAATCCCGCACCTATCTTCTGTTCCCAGAAGTAACAAATATACAATACAAAGACTTGTCAAAAACAAAAGCAGTGGGGCCAGAGATGGCTCAGCAATTAAGAACACTTGTCCTGCTCTTGCCAAAGACAGGATTTAAACCCCTAACAACTAAGTGTCAGATCACAAACAACTGTAACTCCAGTTCCAGGGTGTCAATCTACTTTTGCCCTCCTTGAGCACCAGGCATAAATGTGGTACACATACATTCATGCAGGCAAATGTTCATATCCATAAAACAAATTTTAAAACAAATACAAAAAACCAAAAGCACGTTTCACACATATACTCTGAGTTAGTGACACATTATCAGATGAGGATGGACAACATCAAACTTTTAAAGCATCTAACAGAAAAAACAAAACAAAAACAACAACAACAAAAAAAAACCTCAGGCCTCTGAGGTAGTGGGTTAAAGCACTTGCTTCCAAGCCTGAAGACCTGAGTTCAATCCTTGGAACCCACAAGGTGGGAAGAGAAAACTAACTCATATAAATCGTATTTTGCAACCCCAAGATTTTGTAAACAGAATTATTTTTGTGTTTAATTTTTATTCTACAGTATAGTCAACTTTTTACATAAAAATTTTGAAACCCACAACCTGCCCCCACAATGTTTTCCTGACTACCAAGGAAGCCTAAGCTTAAATATTTCAAAACATTCAATTACTTTGTAACTCATGAATTACAGCTATGGAGCATAGAGCAAAAATCACTCCTGGATTCTTTTCCACTGAGAATGTTTTCTGGAAAAGATCCAATAAAGTACATAGTAGTTAGTTCTGTCTAACTTTGAAGGTCACATCTACTCCTGAGCCCAAGCTACATGATATAGCCACTAGAGAACACTGATTTCCCCTTTCGCAGTAGGTATAAGTTACAAAAAGCTTCTTGTTTGAAGATAAGATTTTTCCTCAGGTAGATGGTAATTAGCAAAGTGACTCACAACTGGACAATGTGCAGAGAGTGAGAGAAGCCTTGGAGCACTCAGCCCTAAATGGAATGTTTATGAATTCCTTCCCCCAAGGCTCAGGGATCTATGAAGAAAAGGAGGTGCAACCACTGCAAAAATCAGAGTTGGTAGATGACTTCAAGGAAACTGACACAAGTGAATTCAGAATACAACAGCAGGCTTAAGAACTGGACAACTTCAAGCCAGACAAAATCTCAGCAAGCAGAAGAAGCAGTGGGCACAATGTGCTGCTTTCTTCTGCATCGCCTCCAATCCATTAGAATTTCCAAAAGAGAAAAACTTGCAAGCCCATTACATTTGTACATACTTCCTTTCTGCTCAGGAAAAAGATGTTCCTCCCATATCAAATCCCCTTCATTCTATAATCACCAATATGTTAAAAAAAAAAAAAAGTATGATCACAAATGTACAAAAAGAATAAAAGTTGTCAAATTTCAGCATCCTAAAACTTTTCAGGACAAAAGATAATTTGCATTAAAAAATAACAAAAACAACCAACTCCAATATCAAAACAAGAAGGGGAGGGGGAGAAATCACAAGAAAAATGCTGTGAGTGCAGAGCAATTTAGTAATGACACCAGTAGGCCAAAGAGAAGTAGAGCCTCACTCCAATCTATTAATTGCACAATAATAGTACTCTGGTTTTAGAAGCACAGTAATGACTGAAAAGCAGGTGCAAAACATGAGCAAAATCTCTGTCAATTGGATCAACAGAGCTTAGAGTAATTCTATTTTTCTAAATTTTATAAATTTTCTGCATCTTGAAATGAGATTAAAAAGGATTCAAGGCAAGCAACACCTTGGAGCTACTTGGAGGAAAAAGTGGAAAAGAAAATGCTAACAACCCAAACTTCTATAAACAGTATTTAATTATAATAACACTAGGACTTGTGAATAAGGACTTAAGAAGAAGAGCTAGAAGCATAAGTCATACTTTCAAGGCATTTACCACCAACAAGAGAAACTGACTACCTGTTACACACACATCAGTACACATTTTGTGAGAACAAATGGCATAAAATACAAGTGAAACCGGTACTGACTAGAAAGGTGCTTGGCAACTATCGGAAAACCACAGCAGGCTAGGGTCTGCATCAGATTTTGCCCTCACCAGTTACTTATTGAGCAGCTACTAGGAACCAAGTAGAGGTATGCCCAAACATTCACAAGCAAGAGGCACAAACTCATGTCCCTATGGAACTTACGCATGATTAGGGCAAATGGACATGGAGATAAGTTAGTGTTTTCATAATTTTTTCATCTATCTGAAAATGACTTTTTGTTATTGATACTGGGTTTTTTATTTGTTTTGGTTTGGTTTGGTTATTGTTGTTGAGATAGGGTCTCATGAATCCCAGACTTTACGGGTAGTTGATAACCTTGAACTTTTGATCCTCCTGCATCTACCTCCACAATTATTTAGTGCAGAGGAATCAAACCCAGAGCCTTGTGTGTACTAAGCAAGTACTTTACAAACTAGGCAATATCCCCAGCCTTGAATACACATTTTAAATAAACACATAATTCATCTTGAAACAGTTTACACTCACTTTCTATCTATGGATACAGAAAACAGTTTATGAAGTCATGCATCCTTTGAAAAATACACTCCATCAATAGCTGAGGTATATATATAGAATGCTTGCCTAAGCACTGGGTCTCTGAGCTGAGGCTCCAACAAAAAGGAGAGTATGTCAGCCTTTTCAAGCTTATTTTGAATCAGATCTTACCTTAAAACCACATTTAAAAGCAATGGTTCTGGAATTTGGCTCAGTGTAACCACTGATCCTGGTGAATGCAACACATATAATCAAAGCAGTATGCTACATCCCCCTGGATCACATTTATAAGCACATTCCTAGAGCAAACATCTCCCATGGCTGATGTCAAAGACAGAAAGTAGACCCCAGAAGATGAAGACATGACAACCAACCCTCCTATCCCATTATTATGCTTACTGTGTAGAAACACTTGAAAAGCATCTTTTTCTTAATTTTTAAAGCCCCTTCTATTTTTTCCTCTTTGAATTTAAAATGAAAAAATTAGCTTTTAACAATCTGCCAGCAATCAGTGTCAACGAGCAGGAGTAGAAAAGATACAAATGACTAAGACCATCATCTTCAATTGTACTCTGCACCTGGCTTTTCAAGTATCTCTGTTAAGAGGTTAATGAAAGCTGTTTGGAGAAGGGGGGTTAAAAATTATGGCCTCACAATGAAACTCTTTTAAATTTGTAGCCTCAAAAAGAAGCATAATCAGACTGTGGGCAAACTATTTCAATTGTAGGTGTCACTGAATGGAACAGAAAGTATAGCTCAGTGGTAGAATGTGTACTGAGTTAGCATACATGAAGCTCTGTCCAGAAATCCCACTTCCCATAAAATAAGGCAAGAGAGAGATGGAATGGGACTGAGTTAAAGCACACTCAATGACATTTATACAATGCACTACAAATAATATTACCTTTAAAATATTATGGTGATAATATGGAACTTGAATCCAAACATGAGGAACAAATTCAAATTGTGAAATAAAATAAGAAACTAAAAAACTAAAGACATAAAAACAGGACCGTGCAACATATGCTTTCAAATGTATTTCAGCTGTAGACATTAGAAAATTAACAGTATTTGTTTAAAACAGATAAGATTAATTTTAATATTCTAATCTTGATTACTGTTCTTCTAGAAATACTGTAGTGTTTAGAAAAAAATATGATGGTGGCATCTTCAAATGGTTCAAGGATAAAGATCATCTGTGTGTGCTCATCATATAAATACACATATGGTCAGATAAATTCAGGAATAATGTAAATATGGTCAATGTTCTCACTTGAGATATACAGATGACTATTCTGGAAACTGGCATCACAACAGAACAAAAGGCCAGGCTCAGAGAAGCAATTACCTCTTAATCAAGATGTTGGCCTAGGCTGAAGAGATGGCTCAAGCAGGTAAGAGCACTGAGTATTCTTCCAGGGGGCCTGGTTTCAATTCTCAACACCCACATGGCAGCTCACAACTGTCTGTAACTCCAAGATCTGATACCCTTACACTGACATACATGCAGGCAAACAAAATACCAATTCACATTTTTGAATGAATGAATGAATGAATGAATGAATGAATGAATGAATGTTGGCCTGACTACAGAACTTGGTGGTGAAAACCATCAGAAATCATTCATGGCCCTGTGGCCAGCTTCATGGCACAATTTTTATATTATTAGCTCAATTATGTAGTAGTTGCTATAGATTCAGAGTTTGTTAATACCCAGGGCAAGGATACCTGCAGAGAAGCAAACTATCATACCCTGTAAGGAGTTGAATGCATAATCCTTTGAACAATACCTTGGCAATGTCTATTCTAGTTCATGACATGTATCTCTTTGAGTAGAAATTTACATACAGGTAGCAAATTTGGTCCATATATGGACATGCTTAAAGATGTTCAATAGAATAGCATTTATATTCATAAAACAATCTCCAAACTCCATGTATAACGAAGAATCCACTGGTTATACAGCAGCTTCCATGTACATGCACACAGTGTAGAACATTAATTCTGAAATCTTTAAATACATCTTTAAATACATACGTAACACACATACATACGACTTACACACAATTATCAGTGTCAATGAAAAAAAATCCCATTTTGCTCTACAATGCATTACACAGAATCTAAGGAAACAGTTTGGTAAAGGTATCTAGCAAGATGAAAGGTACATAGATAATCAAGAGAGAGGACCCTGACTAAAATGCTCAATCCCCATCCCGAAAGGCAAAGAGGATGGACATCAGAAGAAGAAAACAGGAAACAACCTAGGAACCTGCCACAGAGGGCCTCTGAAAGGCTCTGCCCTGCAGAC